AGTTGGGAGTCCATGGATAGAGACAAAGGCATTACTGATCATATCTCTTCTGATTGCGCCAGTGTCAAATAGGGCTCGAGCCTTTTTACCATTGATCAGAATAGTACCTTCCAGAGTGGTGTGTGCTTTGAATGTAGCCAGGGGTCAAACACTGTTGCATTCCACATCGATATATCCGATATGGATTTCTTCATATTCGCTGGATTGGGTATTATCGCTTTCAACATTGTTTGCCGATGCCTCTTGCTTAATTGCCTTTCCTTTCCCTTTCTTCGTAAGACAGTTCTTTGCCATGTGTACTGTTTTTCCACATTCAAAACACTCTCCTTTCTGCCGTCTTGATTCTTTGGAGTATTTTGTTTTCTTCTTGAAAACCCGTAGGGTATCGTCTTCAGAGTTGCTGGAGACTTTGTACCGTGGCTGGCTATTCCTACTAGAGGATGTCTGTGTTTTGTAGGCCTTGGTTTCATGGAGAATGGCGTCCTTTCGTTCTGCTCTTGCAATTATTACTGCCATATCATCTCTGTCTTCCTCGAGTGGTTCTACTTCTCGCCGGCGGGTAGAGTGCATAGTGTCGTAGAATCGTCGCTTGAGGATGTATTTGGAGATACTTCCTCTCTCCATTCGGTCCTTATACATCATCAGGTCCGTAGCCACATCGGTGATTCACTTGACAAGTGTTCCGTTAACTTGCTGGAGCTGGTTGAATTTGTTGTATAGGAGGTCGTTGGCTATAGAGGATTGGAATCGTCCTTTCAGGTAATCGAGAACTGTAGTTCCTCTTAATCTTACATTCACGCCGTATTCCTTATATCATTGGTGGTATGCGTCGGTTGCCTTTCCTTCACAAAATGATCGAATAATAAGTCCGATTGTAGGGTCTTCCACATCTTTTCCTTGTAAGAGTAGGAAGTGTGAGAGTTCCGTCGCCCATCGGTTAAAAGCTTCAGGTTTGAGGTCTTTTCCCTCTCCTGTGAATTTCGCTGGGAGGTGGAGTTTAAACTTAGGTGGTTCAAATGCTGCGGGAACCTCCACTTCTTCAGGCCTAGCCTGAGATATTCCTCCTCCAGAAGGCCCTCCTCCTGTGCTAGCCATGTCTGATTCGCTGCTGGCTTCGGGGTCGATTGGAAGTTCAAAGGAAGGCTTCTTTGCTGGAGTAGAAGGGAATTCTCCTGGAGGATGTGTATCTTCCGTGTTTGCAGAATCGCCTGGCTCTTTAGCAGAGCGCGGGGGTTGTTTCTTTCTTATAAGGTCTTGCTGTGGGATTTGCTTCCCACTCCTGGTCGTCAAAGACTTTATCTTGGGTTTGAGATGAAGCCGAATGTGCTGTGATTCTGCCGCTTCTCTCCGCTAGCGTTCTGAGGTGGATATCGATAGGTTCATCCGGCCTAAATCCGCGGACAGATTCTTAACCACTTGCTGAGCTTAAAACAATGTAACATGTTCACAAGGTGCTATTCACGTTATCGGTAATTGATACGATAGTTGGCAGGTGGCCTGCTCTTCCAGAGAGGAGGCGAGAGCTGAGAACTAAAGGAGGCTTCGAGGGTGTACTGAGGAACAAAGAAGTAACCGTTCAACCAAGTATATTGAAATACTGTCTGTCGAAGTCTGCCTTTTCTATCCTAGAAACAGGCGGTCTTTAAATATACAAATCTGTTCATGTCTAGCATGAACGAAACTAATCAAAGGTATCAATTGATACTCTTTGGTAAAACTCCTTAAGTATCAAAACGATACTTAAAACAAAATATAAAACAAAACCAAGTATCAAATGATTCTTAAAACAAACCAAGTATCAAAGCGATACTTAAAACAAAACATAAAACAAAACCAAGTATCAAACGATACTTAAAACAAATCAAGTATCAAAGCGATACTTAAAACAAATCATAAAACAAAACCAATAACCGAGTACCCGTACCGGTTACAAGTATGAGTTTCAGACAGAACTACAATTGCAATCCTATATAAAGGATGCAATTGAAGTTTGGCCAAGGGTTGCCAATATTCAAAAGGAGAAGATTAAGTACCAGATACTATCCTCAGGTAAGTTATTTATTGTCTAGTATATACTATAAATCTAGGAGAATATTGAATCAACTAGGTGGAAATTGAGCTAACTAGTAGTGTTTATAGCAATTAAGGATCTAAGAAAATATCTAAAGTCCAAGAAGTACTCTGTTAAAGGCAATGATCTTGAAAGTTACCATCAAGTCCTCCAATTTATGAGATTTCAACGAATGGGTTTATTCAAACATATATGGAACAAACCACGAAAGGAAATTGCACTCCTTGTTACTGCTACATCAGAAAGAGGCAGACGTGTGGCTGAAAAAATTCAGCGGGATGAATGCAAGTGGATCAAAGGTCGAGGAATTATCTTACAGAAACGGCGGGAGCAAGCGAGTATTATATCAAGGATGGACGAGGAAGAAACACCGCTTGCAATCAGAGATTATATTGCTGGAGCTGGAGATTCAGTCACAGCTGCTGGGTTGGCACATGCTATTACTCAATATTGGTCAACCGGCCGATTGCCACCCCCTGATATTGATGGACAAGGTAGCCTTCTATCCCTTTCGCATGTCCCTCCTGAGCAAGTAGCCTTAGAGAGAGGAATTCAAAACATACTTTCAACTCGGATCGCATCTAAATGGCTGAATAAGCTAGGATACAAATATAAAGAGTGTAAGAAGGGAGTATATAAAGATGGACACGAATATCCAGATGTTATCTCATATCGACAAGACCACTTTCTACCAACTCTCGACCGCCTAAAGCTGCTGCTAGTTCCGTGGGAATTGGATGAGAATGGTAAACCAGTCACGATTTATCCGCAAGATTTGCCTCCTGGCCAAAGTCCAATTGTTTTGATAATACATGACGAATCAACATTTGATGCAAATGATGGTAGAAGATATGTGTGGATAAAAGAGGGTGAACCACCAATTAGACGAAAGGGTCGTGGCAAAGGCATAATGGTTTCCCATTTTGTAAGTCAAGGCGGACATTTGAAGATACCTGATTGGATACCTATTGGTAACCTCCCCACTTTCAGCATGACAGATGAGCCAAACCTCTGCTATAGTCCATACACAGCAACCATGAAAATTGAATATGGGGGTGACAAGTGGTGGGTCGGTAAAGATCTTGTGCTACAGGTTACAAATGTTACTATTCCAATATTTGAAACAGCTTTTCCAGGATGCCAGACCCTCTTCCTTTTTGATAATGCTATCAGCCATTCGGCCTTTGCACCTGATGCTTTACGTACTAAAAACATGAGCCTGCGGCCTGGTGGAGGACAAAGTAAACTCCACCAGGGTTCAATTCCGCTATAGGTGAAATTCAACCAATGGTAGACAGCTCTGGTACAGCAAAAGGCTTGAAGAAAGTATTGGAAGAGCAGGAGCTCGGGAGAATAGGGCTCCGTCTACAATGCAGAAAGCTGGGAATTGACAAACTACTCAAAACCTGTCTACTTGGTGGAGAATGCTGTGCCTGTATAATTATTGCAAATCAGCCAGACTTTAAAAGTCAGAAATGCCGTTTGCAGGAAGAGATTGAGGCAGCAGACTACCATGTCCTGTTTTATCCAAAGTTCCATTGCGAAATTAACTTTATTGAGTATGTATGGGGTGCTGCCAAGTACTATACTCGAAACAACTGCCGATATTCCATCAAGAGTTTACGACCTACTATTCCAAAGGCCTTAGATTCTGTTTCAGATCAACTTATATGGAAATATGGCAAACGAGCAGAGCAAATTATGGATTCTTATTGTCAAGGAATATCATATGGAACTCCTCAATTTGAAGCATCTATTAAGTATAAATACAAAAGCCATCGGCGGGTTTCTGATATACAAGTACTAGAGTAATATAGAATATGGCATCATGTATAATATTATACATCTTTCTTTACTCTACTTTGTACATATCATAAGTATTATTTTCTTACATAATTGTGTTTCCAATATGGAAAACCCTTTATCACTAACCCTATTTTTTCATTTGTTATGCCAAGACTCAAGTCTTGGCATGTAAAATTGCACAGCCACATGTAACATCATTTTTTCAGCCTGGTACACGTTTTGGAGAGCTTGCACTATACATGTTTTGAATGACTTGAACCGTACAGTCTTTCATTCTGGCACCATAACTTATATGATATTCTAAATCATCAGCCACCACACCGGGCAAACGATCTGCCCTACCAGAAAACAACTAATTTGGGTACCGTACACATACCCGTCTCCCCTCCTGCTTATGCTTATATCGTACCTCGATAAGGAGGAAACCCCCGGAAACCGGGGAGAAACTGCTTAGGGACAGGTGGCACAGGGGAAAACCTATATACCGGCATGCACAGTATTATTGTCCTCGTCATACAGCCTTTTGAAGGCAGTTGGTTTTATGTGATCTCCCACCCGGCTACTGGAGTGGTCGTTTGCTGGGTGGAGCGTGTTATCGGCCGTTGGCTTACTCGGGTGCTTTGTACGGCGCTGCGTGGGGGGGCTGGTGGCGCGACGTATGAGCGTTTACAAGTATCTCCAAACCTTGTTTGGCGAACATGGTGAGTAAAATGACCGATAATGGCCATTGTGGAGCGGGTTGTGTGAGTGGGCTTTGAGAAATGCTATTAGCCAGTCTCCCAAACCATTGTTGCGAATCATGGTTGGAGATAAACTACCGGTACTATACGCCACGCCAAATAGCCCAAGACCGGAAAATCAAAAGGAGAAAAACCACGGGCATGTTACAGTGCCAGCAGATCGATAAAATCCCCACTAAGGATTTCTGAAAAATCACCCATCGCAGTCATTGATAATTCAATATTTCATGTTATCCTGAATGTACGAGTGCAAGGCGATTGAGCGATAAGTTATTAGGTTTAAGGCATGTCTCAGAAAAGGTATCCCTCCCTATGAGTGATGAAACGTGATTGTGCTAAAATGAACTACTAGCTGTACTCAAGCAACAGCCGCTACATACATCTCAAGCCGAGTCCTTTGCCCCAACGCCAACAAGTCCCTCAAACAGGCTCGCGATTTCTAGAACTCTTGCATCAGAGCCACCCCTTCCCAAGAAAGTAATGGAAAACGGCATCTTTTTTTCGTCTTCCATGTAGTGCCCTGCCGGAACCGCGATGGCGCACAAATCTAGAACATTGCCAAAGTGCGTGAAGGTTCCTAAACGGGTGTTTATCGCGATGGGATCTTTCAAAACCGCAGAGATCCGGGGGTGGAATGGAGCAGTTGGAACTATCAGGACGTCGATGTATGATGGGTGGGAGGGATTGAAAAGTGTAGCGTTGACCTTTCTTGTGAGCCTAGAGTTTGTCAGACTAGCAGGGACATTTGTTAGGGGGTGGGATGGTAGATACCCAATCATTTTTCTCATATCCTTGTACGCTTCCGCGGCGCTAGCGCCCGTTTCTAAGACATTCTGGAGGATCTCCCGGATCACCGGGTGTAGCTCGTCCTTCTCCCTTCCCACCCATCCGTTGTCTGGTAAAGCTGCAAGCCGCTCATTCACTAAGGCGCCATCGTACAAGAGCTTTCCAGCCTCCTCAAAAAGCCCCCAGTCACCTTCTTTAACCTCCCCTCCGATCTCCTGGAGGCTCCCGATAGCTTGATAAAATAGTTTCCGGTATTCTGGAGAACACTCTGCTACGGCCTTCCTATCTGGGAGAGCAAACTTCCACTTCTTCTCACCTAGAGCGTTTACCATCGGTAGTGGCAGTGATCCGGGTGTTTTTGAGTATGGGTCATCTGGATCATATCCTCTCACAAGGTTCCAGAGTTTTCGGACATCCTTTACGCCTCCGTCTGGCGTGACCATAAATGATAGACAGTCTAGCGACTCGCAGGCTTTCATAACCCCGCTGAAGGAAACAGTACCTTTTGTGGGTTTCCACCCAACCACGCCGTTAAAGCCTGCTGGAACGCGCCCAGACCCGGCAGTGTCAGTGGCTATGGCAAAAGATGACAATTCCGCCCCTACTGAAACCGCAGATCCGGATGAGGATCCGCCAGAGACGTAGTCTGGGTTGTAAATGGAAGCAGGGGTTCCGTATGGGGAACGGCAGCCGGTTAGGCCCGTCGCAAACTGGTCCAAGTTGGTTTTGCCAATGTAAACAGCACCTAGGGATATCAACCGTGAATATATCTTTGAGGAGCGCGATGGTATATGGGCGAGGGGAGGACACGCTAGGGTTGTCGGAATCCCGGCAACGTTTATAGAGTCTTTCAAAGTGAAAGGCACGCCGTATAACGGTGGGAGGTTGGTTAGATCTGGGAAGAGTTTTTGAAGCGATTCGGCGTAGGATATCGAGATAGGTCGGTCGACGAGGCGTATAAAGACTGACTTTGTTTGACTGTACTCCTCAATTCTAGCGTAGAGACTGGTGATAACTGTCACGGGGGATAGCCCAGATTTGTAGGACTTCCGAAGAGAATCCAGAGTGAGACACCCATCCCATACCGGTGGTGTTGATGGGGGGCTTTCGAGACCCAGGTCCGGACCGGGAGCGCCCGGGGAGGGGAGTGCTGGGGTTAATGCTTTCAAGAAGTTTGGAAGGGAAGAGACAAAGCCGAAGAGCCCCTGCGACCAATGGATCATGTTTAAAGATGGGGCTTTGAAGTTGTCGTTATATCCGGCGGTGCATTCCTCAATTATGCCTGTTTCTTGTGAGATCTCGAATCACTACTTTTCACAACCGGTCTCTGATGACTTACAGCACTCAAATCCGCGATCGTTGGCTTCCCGCACTGTGGTTGTCACGCAACACTCAGTTGTAACACCCCCGACAATCTTACTTCTGTTAACAAGTGATGATGGTGACAGATTATAGAAATACGTACCAAGTGTGTGATTCCCCATCCGACTAACTCTTCCAACAAATTTGTATTCCAAAATGCCCCCTTTCCTGGTTTATCCACAACTACTTCCCCTAGCTTTGGTCGGCACTCATCCACTATATCATGTCCGTGCTCCCCCCGCACCAGTAATCTGCCCAATTCCCCGGGGTCCCCTATTACCTTTGAATGGCTGGTTCCAGGTGCTGACGCCTGACGACCCAGCTTTGACGATGGGCAATCGGAGAGATCTGGGAGGTGACCTTCGCGAGTGTGGAAGATAGGAAGTTCCAATTCACGAAATGCTTGAAGAATTCGAACACAATTGGGAACTACAGCCGTTACCGCCGTGAGATTCGTCCCAGATTGTATGTCGCCAAAACCCGAGGGGAGAATAAAGTCACGTTGAAGATCTATCAAGAGAAGAGCAGTCGAAGAGAGCGGAAAGGTGTACGGATAGGGCTTTGCTTCGATTGTGATATTTTTCGAGAGAGCCTCCATCACTTTCTTTGGCTCGAAATCCTGCCGATGAGGTTTGGAGTGTTGGGACCCAATTTTGAATTCTTTTTGATGGTAACTCACTCAGTATTAATCTCGGGACCAGGAAGTTGTCTGGCTTCCTCTACTATGTAGAAAAATTGGTTGCCAATTATATAGGAAACAAGTGATACAGGACGGCGGGGCAAACCGTGTCCAAACGGGTACTCGGTTGAAGGCTAGTCTCCACAAACGCAGAGTTTCCATGCAGGGCATCTGCCAAGCGGAGAAACAGCTGTCACGATACCGGTATTCCTTCCTTGAGCCCCTATATCCTTGCTTATCGTCGTAAAAGGTGCCTTTTTTACGTTTGAAAACCTTGCGCTCAGACTGATTGGGCAGCAGGTGATCACCATCCTTTGCTTTCATGGGAATTGAACAGTAATATCAAACTGTCCGAGTTTCGCGTAATATGTGAGCCTGGACAGTTGATGGGGTATAGTCTCCGTAGGGGCGGGGGGGGATCTTGGAGGAAGAAAGGAGGTGGCCAAGAGAGGGATCTGAAGACCGTGGTCTAACGACCAATGCATGCGTGTGATGGTCTGATGTCCCCGTCGGGCCGAAGGCTTCAATTGGGGGTGCGGGGGGGTATTCTTATCGATAACCACCCCAATTTAAGCGAGAACAGCACAAGATCGGCGAATTGGCGGATTTTCCCCTTATCACGCGACATGCCCAATAAATAAAGCCCCACGATGCTTGGAAAGTCGACTAGATCAACTCTCACAAACCGGGCCGCCGGGTCTGGGAGCCTGCGCGAGAAAGAACTGCCGTAGGGCTGCCGGTGGGCGCTTGAATCGGGAACCCCTCGACCAGGTTTGATCCCAGCATTCCCGGGGGCAAATAATGTGTGGGGTCTGGATTGGCGTTTTCTTGTGCTTTCAATCGGCACGGGGTTGCTTTTTGAAGTTCTTGCCGAAACAACAGTAGCGAGAATGTGTGAGTGGCGTTGCTGGGGGATCAGAAGTGGTTGCAGTGGAGATAGGCCGATAAAGTGAGAAAGAAGTAAGACATCTGTAAAGGAACTTGTATTTAAGTTACATGCGTTCTTCCCAGCTCTTTTAATTTAGGACTGTTCAGGAAACTTGAAGATACGATACCCGAAGAATCAAACCCCCAGCAATGCTTTTTTCATATTCCTTAACGCGCAAGAGAGTGTCGCCGTACTTTCATCTTCGTCTCCCATACAACGCTGGCGCTTATGGAACCGCTAGATGGAGTAACAAAGGTCGGAGCTCCCGTCGCCTCCCCCAAGTCCAATTGATTGACGGGAGAAACCCGAGATAGATCTTGACCCAGTCCCGGTGGAGTTGAGGACCTGGGGAGGTCTCGACTACTGGGCATACTGGTGCTCCGACATGCTTGCACCACCGCTTGCCGCAACAGTTAGCACGTAGGTTACTTCCCCTAAAACAAATCACCAGAGGTGTTAAGCGCTGAAATCGCAGTGTAATGTCACTGGGATTTACTGCGAGAGAGACCATTCCTATTGTGTTCTTCGGCTTCATGATCTGCAGTATTGTGGTCACATTGACAGGCAAGGTCTGATCCCCTCGCCAACAAGTTCCAACGTTTGGGAGTACCAGCTAAGGGAAAGGGGTGAAGATGGGTGCAACATATCACGTAGCGTACCCAGTGATTGTGAGGTCTACATTCGGGATGATTGGAAGTTATCCTGCTATCGTGATTAGAGGTACCCATTTTCTTGGAAACTTTAGGGATGATTGAGCTGACATTCTGGACAGCTTTTGTGGCTATGATGTGGACTGCTATTCTCTGTGTACAAGCTGGCGGCTTCTTACAGAACTGTATAGAAGCCATTTGGCCCTCCTTCAAGAACTTTCCCAATCACCTCTCTGAAGGTGCTGGAATTGATTGTAGGTCAATTTGTGCAGCGCGCACAGTTCACAATGTGGGGTGATTCTAATTCCACTTTCATATAGCTGCTGGGCTGCTTTGTTTCTTCCTATATTGGATACTCCAGACAATTCTCTCCTTGATGCCTATCCAGAAGCTCCGCCTCCTGTTTCTGGCAAAAGGAATCATTGTTCCACCAACCTTCCTCGCTCTCTTTTTATGGGCTGTAATGTTCGTCCCCGTCATATTATGTTTTAACACTCATAACATCTAACGGACTCTACAGAGTAACAGATGGCGGTGGCCCCCTTGTAACCGGAAAATACGTTCTCGAAACTCCAATGAATACGGCCTATTCCTCCCTGACTGGACTCAACGTGATGATCGGCCTTTTCTCCTCTATGGCAGTAAACATGCCCGATTTCGGCAGATTTTCCAAGAACAATCTTGCTGGAGGTCATCAATTTTTTGCATTGCCGATTATTGGAACCCTAGGCGCACTGACACCCATTTTTGTTAACTCCGCACACAAAAAAATCTGGGGTGAATTCGAATGGTACATGCCCGCGGTCATTGCGAAATTCGATAGTCGAGCAGCGAAGTTCTTCACTGGAGCAAGTTTTATATTGGCTACGATCGGGAATCAAATAGCTGCTGGGTAGGCTTTCTCCTTTGATAGTCCGGGGGTTGCACGAAGGACATGGAATGATCATGTGATTTTTTTTTGATCCTTTTTGTAATCGATCCAATACTGACATGCCGGTTGTTTTGTAGCTCTTTCCCTTTCTCGAATGGTAAGGCTCTTTAGCTATCTCTATTCTTAAAGACAGGGTATCTCCCACCACCCAGAAGGAATAGGTGCTGACTTAAAAGTAAGACATCAGCGGAATGGCACCGCAATACATCAACATCTTCCGTGGAACGGTATTCATGTCGATTTTTTGCGTCGTCTCCGTGGGTGACCCATTCCTCCTCCCCACTGCGGTTATACTCACATAGCTAGACACCCTGGAATATCATCAAAAATGCAACAGGCCTGCTGTCCTTTCTCTCCGGCTATAGTTGTATGATGGGACCGCTGGCTGGGACCATTGTTTGCGACTTTTACCTGATCCGTAAGCGCAAGTTGGATGTTCGTGAGCTCTACAGAGATCATGGAATCTACTGGTACACTTACGGAGTCAACTGGAGGGCCGTTGTGTCATTCCTCCTCGGGTTTCTACCCACGCTACCTGGTTTCGCGCACAGTATCGAGAAGACACTTGATGTTGGTGGTGCTTGGAAGGTTTGATCAACCCCCTCTCTTCGTCCTACGGTCATACTAATCACGGATGAATGGGTGTATAGCTTTATACATTCGCATGGCTCTTCGGATTTTCTGTGGCGGTTGTGTCGTATTATATTATTTGCACCTATATCTCTCCGCCAACGGAAAGCTTGGTAGATCTTGCGGTGTTGCCGCCCGGTAAGGTTTATCCGTCTCTGGGGACTACGCTCGAAGAAGTTCCTAGGGATGATAAGGTTGAGGAGATCGCAGTTGGAGAGAAGGAAATTGTACTAGAGAGCAGAGACTCACCTGTTTAGCCTTTTGATAGTACACTTCACATGGGTATCCTACAATTGTTTGTCTGATGAGTTTTTTTGTTTCATGTATTTTCCACTCTTCTACTGCACAAATAACCCTGTAGTCGGGGCATGGCGAGGTCGATCGCGCGCTTTCATCATTACAAAATATCGTTATGAGTTCACGATTATAAGAAGCACATTTCATAAGCCTTACAAGGTGCGAGTGTGCTCAAGTTATCCCGTTCGTTAAACCCCTCTGGGTATCCACTGAGGCGATTGAGCCAAATTCAATCAATCGAGTGAGACAGTATGAACGGCTATTGGACCTAGTTATAGGGAAGACAATTAAAGAAAAATATCATTATTATGTGTATCTCGTACCGGCAGGCAGAGTAACAGCGCCGAGATGCGTGCCTAGAAAACACGCAATTTACCCCCATCAGATGAGAAAGCCCCCCAAGTTGAATAAGAGATATGATACCCTGAGTTTAATTTAAACTCCTGGCTTATGCCTTCTTTAATCTCGCTCCCCGCCCATCGCTGCCGTCACCGAACATGAACCCCCTTCCTTTTAAGAATTGGTTAACCCCCGGGTAGACATAAAAAACATATAAACTCGAAGCCTAAGAGTCCTAAAATGAGGGTGGTATTGGCTCGATGCGATCACCGACTCGCTCTCCTCTCGGCCCCGACCCCTGCGGGAAGGTATCCGACTAAGAAGGTTTAGTGTACAGTACGGGGGTGAGTCGCTGCCTGTTCTCGAGATAGGGTGGAGGGGGACTCGAGTCTCGTTTTCGCGCTGTGGAGGTGGGCCGGAGGTCCTCACGGGCAAGGGTAGATGGTAAATTTTGTGAAGGGTTTGACATGGCTCGTGCGCCGAGCGGTGGACTTCCGCCCGCCCTTGTTGTTCTATGGATAACCATAAGTTTGGGGCCTGAGATTGGGGGGGGGGGCGGTTAACCCGGGTGGCTCTCCCTCTCTCCGAAAATCCGCCGTTTACACGAGTAATCCTCTCAATAGTGGATTGCATAGCCGATCCGTTGATATCCTACAATAGCATTCTAGCTTCTTCGGAGGTTAGCATATAACCGTGCTTTGGCACGGTTATATTGGAAAACATTTCGTGTGTTGCTGCGTTGCCTCACGCTAAATCTTTGACCCTACTCATACTTGGGGTGAGATTAGTAATAGGATACCATATAATATTATTATAGAATTTTGAGAGGTATGATAGCAAACCTTGTCCAACCCACCGTTCGAGAACCAGCAAGCAAACATACCACCACAACCACACGAACAACAAGGTGAGTCCCTTTAATGTCATAATATTATTATCTATTGAAGACTGTTTTACTAAATTCATGAGTCATGAAACATAGCCGACCATGTTCAGACTTTCCACCAAACTAGCACGCATGCCCCCAGTCATCTACCGTTACCGCCCTCAAGTCTACTATGCATCTAAGGCGACGGGACCTATTCTCGTAAGTTTGAAGTTTTATTGGCTCAAACACTATTCTAATCAGACTACAACATCCAGCCCAAGAATCTGCCCACTAATATTAAATCCAAGACTGCCTATTCCATGGTCACCTCAGCAGAGGCCCAGAAAAGACTAGGCTTTAGGTTCATCGATTTTGAACGTCATGCCATTTCCGTCAGCCGCATGTTGGGAGAAGCAAAGTCTGAGATTGAAGGTCTCGGGAAAGATCAGCTCCAGGAAACTAAGGAAAAGGTTTATGACCGTATTATTGAATTTCTTGGATGCGAAGGCTATCCCACCGAGTCGAACGAAGATTTCAAGGAAGCCAATATCAACGACTTGGTTTTTTCTATACTCGCTCCTATTGTGACAGATTTCCGGGATAAGACAGGATGCAACCTTTGTCTACTCAGGGAGAAACAGATTACCGCTCTAGACTCCAAGACTACGGCTATCAGGAATTCGTTCTAGTGGACTTGATCGGGCTGGAGGACGAGAAGTATGTCTTTGTGGTGGAGGCCAAGAAGTCCTCCCTTGGAGAGGCGAAGAGGCAGTGTCTACTGGCGATGAAAGATATGGGAGACCGTAATGGCGGAGGCGTGGTGTATGGTTTTGTTACCACTGGGGAACAGTGGCAAATGCTTCGATATAATGGAACGGTTTTCACTCAGACAATCAAATTTCTTGTGCTGTCTGAAAATATGGTGCAGGAGAAGGAGAGATGGATGAAGGAGTCCTCAATTGTTGTGGACTGTATTCATGCCGCATTGAGAAGCGGAGGATTTGTGGTCGATAATTGAAGGTGAGCATCTGGTGGAGTCTCTCCCAAGAGGATTTGTTTGTGGTAGCTGATATTTATTCAGGGAATATTACTATTTCTGGCGGGGCACCTTTTAGGCGGAGTATGGGGGTTGAGGTCTTGGGATGTAATTAGTTGCCAATTCATTCTGCTTTTAGTGATCAATGTGGGGGACCCTCTGAACGAAGTGAGTGATGACTTAGCCATTAATAACAGTAAGGTACTCATAATTCTTTGACATTTGTAAACAAAGCCACTATTGTGTATGGACAAAAGATTGGCCGGAGCCTCTAATATCAAAATTCATTATAACAAATAATACGAACCCACACTACTGTGCTTTAGCCTCAATATTTTGATTGTATGCAATTACAGCTGTGCTTGCTCGGGCTCAGGTTGAGTGTTCAGGCAGTGGAAAAGAAATACAACTCCCCCCCACTGAGACAGTGAACTCCCTCACTTCCCCACTTTTCTTAGCTGGCGATAAGAGTCTTCCCATTACGTTACTAAGCGTTATTTCGTTTCGTTTTCCCGCTGCTGGTTTCATTTCTTTACCGTTGCAGTTTACAACAAGCTCCTAGCACATGGTCCCTTTATTCTGCGGTAGGGTATTGGTATCCGGTTTCTCATGTTCCCGTTAAGGTTTAAGGTGGGAGTACCCTTGCATTTATATATCATGTGGTTTCGTGGTGCAGTTGGTCTCTACACCACAAAACCGCCTAAAAATTGGCCAAATTCCCTCCGAATGGGAAGGTGCCGAGTCAGTCATTACTCGCCCTGACGGTTGAAAAGCAACCGACTTCGCTCCCCTAACCCTAACTCAGGAATATTTCATGGAAGCAGAGCCTCATAAAATTAATAAGATCTCCTCCAACCGCTCAGCTTATCATGCTTTGCGAAGCTCCAGGCACCCAATTTCGGTTCCGGAACTGGAACCGCCAGCCTAACACACTGGCCGTCCCCGTCTCAAGTTCGAGATTGCGCGAAATCAATTTTTCTTCTCTCCTGGAGCTGGTTACCACTTTTGCTTACAACTAGATTTAATTCCTTTTAGGGTATTATGCCCATTATGCCGCCTTGCTGTACGGGCATGGAAAAAGCACACCATCCACCCACTGACCACTCCCCCTTGCTCGCTCATTAAAAAATAAACCTTTAACGGGGCCTCACTTCCCCGTTTGTGAAGCGACACAAACGGATAAACCCTCAACGAACTCCGCACAACAACCACCAAGTCTATCGTACCTCCTCAACAATTCTAAGTCCGGTAAGAAACCCTCTCCGCACACTTTATCCAAAGAATAAAATATCCGGCTATTCTAAGGCAACACAAGCCTCGTACTGGGGAACACTTCCCCCGAGAATGTGCCCTTCATCTATTACCCGAATGTATGGCTTGATAATCGATATAAGACTACTGCGTGAACGAGCCTAGGGATTTGGCAGGCCTCTGCGGTGGACTTCCTGCTGCTCTTCCAAGCATGCCTATTTTCAGCGTGAAACACCCGTGCAGCAAGTTCTTTCCGTTTGTAAGACGAGGGCATGAGCGACTGTCGGGGTGAATTGGCCAGGGTTCAGGGATTTCGCAAGGGTTTGGAAAGGTTGTGGGTTGGTGCGGGAGAAGCTTAAATCAAGGGTGGCCTTTGGGTGCGAGAGGTTTAGAGTTCGGAGGTTGGTGTAGAGGCCTGGTTTACAGAAGTCCAGAATGCCGACGGAGGTAGAGATTATAGTTCTGGCACCACACTAGGAGACATGTTTCCTTGTCGTTTCGGAAGCGATATCGTAGTAGGCCTTTGGGAAAGGGAGGTATGATAGCAGAAAGACTGCTGGTATTTTTTTTTTTTGGCACCCCTCTATAAACAAATTCCGTACTACTGCGGAAAGGTCGGCGGGAGATTGTCTCTAGAGGGGTGCCAGTACTGACCTGGGTGGATGTCACAGAACCCCTCTCTTTCCTTTTGAAAGTTCTCTGTCTTTCCTTAGTTAGGTACCGGTACTGAGTAAGGTTGAATGAAAGAGGCTTCCGGGGTGGTGGGGGTGTGGCAGGATAAAGTTAGTCTTCGCGCAAGGAGCCCCACATTTGGAAGCAGCTTCTTGAATATCAAGTACAGCCTCTATGCCCACCTCCGGCCATACAAGTATCCCATACCAGCTAAGCCATTACGTTCTAGAGTCGTGCGTTCTAGAGTCGTGTTGGAGAGTCATATGTTCCGGGGTCATGTATTATGAAAGTCGACAATCGCTGCTTTTCCGTATCGTCAAATATTGGTCAACTGAAGCAAGTAGATCTTGATCTCCGTGGTTTGTATAATAATTATAGACTTTTTTTCTTCGCAGACCATTCTCATAGAATATCACTCGTAGTACTATACCATCCATTTTGGGAACAGCTCTAGCTTGCTGCAGACACCGAAAAATATTCACGCACGATCACTCGAATTTCCTAACCTGGTTTAATTTACATGTACACCTCCATTCGGAAGCAGCCCTGACTTTGGTCTCCTCCGAATACTACAGGTCCAGATTCGGGCATTATTGCCAGGATTTGGGCTGAAAAGGCTTTCTGTTTACGCTGGTACAAGCTGTCACAATGGTTGATAAGAAAAATTGTCACCACAATCAAATCTCAAGAGCAATACTAGAGAAGTGATTATAAGTTCCACTAGAAGCAGGAAAACTTCACAATTGTGAATCTTCGCTATAACATCCACTTCTGAACGCCCCCATATTAAGGCT